TCGCTATTCGGAGCAAGAAGCTACTAGGGTGGAGGCCATCGCTACTAGGTTGGAGGCCTTCGCTATTCGGAGCAAGAAGCTACTAGGGTGGAGGCCATCGCTATTAGTTAAGTTTCCCTTAGAACGAACATGTTTGGAAACGTGGCAGGCGATCTATCCAGCTTCCACAGCCGCGACGGTGTGCCTGGGGCAACTGCAGAAATACTCAGAGTTCAAGCATGTTCAAGCACCCCCCCGCCAGGGTTTCCAAAAGGGCGGCAACACATTGATGCAGTGTGCACCACGTAGAGCAGACGTGAATCAGTCAAAATGGACTTGCTACTTAGTAATCTTTCTCCCCCAAGCAAAGAATGCGTGACAAATGAGCGTGTCATTTCAACTGTTCACTTGTTCTTTTATTTTTGACATCGAGAACGATATTTTCAGATTTCGTTGGCTTTTTGGTTTCAACATTTCGTTTGTTCAGTTATTTAATGTTTGGCCCTTCAGGAGCCCAAGGAGACCTGCCTCCAGAGCCCGAAGCAGCTGCTCCAGCCCTCTTGCGACGTGCTTTGTCCTGTTGAGACACTTGGAAACGACAAAACTGCCTGATCTAGGATGACACTCATAAGCATATATAATATATAAGCATAATCATTAGCAGTTCCGGCTATTTCATCCTGATTGATCTTGAGTGACGAGCGGAAGCTGCTGTTCCAGATTGTAACTTCGAGCTTGAGGGGGTGCTATAATCATGACAGCGTAGGGACACGAAAGTGACCAGTAGGAACAATAAGCTACTAGGAACAAGTGCATCGCTAGTAGTAACTATTCCCAGTGGATCCTTGACGTTTCTCCAGGGACTGGGCACTTCGACCCCAGGCCGAGTGGAGTGAGCGGCGTGACGTTCGGGCACGGGTAGCCGCGCCGTTGATAAAGACCCAGGAGTTTGTGGATGGTTACAGGCCTTCGTCTTTCTTTTGATGGAACCTTCGAAAGCATACCGTTGGTCAGATGATATCACATATCTTTTGTATGGCAGTTTCTAGGTGAGCTGGCAAGCAAAGAACGTAAAAGCATCCACTCAAAGATAAGCTCATTGTGATGGCAGTGCACAGCATTGGGTTAAGTAGCTTAATAGGGTTGCCTTGCAAAATTGGTGAGTCTTTGCAGACTTGGCAACCGTAGATGGCTGGAAGATATTCAACGGACCTTCAATCAGAGTGTTCCTGTCGAAATTGTCAGACACTGAAGCCGTGGCGCCAGATCGAGACCCTTCGATGGTTTGAGGAAAACACCAACTTGCCTAAAGCAGACGCCGACAGCCGCCAATCCTACGATGAGGACGCAGTTGGTGTGGTGTTGGGAAAAAGTTTGGGGTCTCTGTGAAGCTAATTTTGGAACAACATGTCCAGAAGCCGCCTCTTGTGTGCCCGATGCGTATTGTTTTGGCTGGCAATCTTCCTGCATCAACCCCTTTTCTGGCCATGTAAGGAATACCATGAAATACCATGCAGACTTGTACTTTCTGATGATTCCTGCGTTTGGCTTCTAAAACCCGTCTTTGGCCAGGGCATGGCCCTTGCAGTGCGGCGGATCCAGCGTTTGTACATCCACGGGCCGCATCCAGGTGGGCGCTCTCCCCTTCGAATCGGATGCAGGTTTTACTAGCCTTGTCGAATCGCACGATGGACCTTCTCTGCTTGTTGGGGCCTCACAAAATCATCAAAGGACCTGGCCGGACCAACCTTACATCGCCTTACTAGTAGTAACAAGAAGCTACTAGGAACAAGTGCATCGCTTCTAGTAATTAGCCCAGCTGGAGACCCCAATAGCAAGATACAAACCGGGACAAAAAGAAAAATCTGGAAACAGCTGCTGTTTTCAACACATCGACCATCTCTTCCTTGGACACCATCATCACAACCGGGACACCATCACAAAATGGCCAGGGCACCATCAAAACATGACCGAGACACCGTCACAACATGACTGGGACACAATCAAAACATGATCGGGACACCATCAAAACATGACCGCGCCACCATCACATGATCGGGACACCATGAAAACATGACCGGGACACCGTCACAACACGACCGGGACACCATCACAACATGACTGGGTCACAATCAAAACAGGATCGGGACACCATCAAAACATGACCGGGACACCATCAAAACATGACCGGGACACCATCACAACATGACCGGGACACTATCACAACATGACCGGGACACCGTCACATGACCCGGACACCATCAAAACATAACCGGCACACGGCCAAAACATGACCAGGACACCATCACAACAGGACCGGGACACCATCAAAACATGACCGGGACACCGTCACACCACGACCGGGACACCATCAAAACATGACCGGGACACCATCACAACATGACCGGGGCACCATCACATGCCTGGGACACAATCACAACATGACCGGGACACCATCAAAACATGACCGGGACACCATCAAAACAGGACCG